TTAAAGTCTTTTTGTAGTAAAGTTAGTTCATATAAAATATATTGTTTTGTATTTATTTATTAAAGCCAATGGATTTATTAAGACCAGGTTTTATTCTTTAAAAAAATTTTTTTTTAATAAAAAATTTTACGACCATAGTCAATTAATGCTTTTCAAAATTTTTATTAAACTTAAATATCTTTTTGTAAACCATCATTAATATCATTAATATAGAGTGTAAAATCAAAATTTCCATCCATTAAACTTAAATATCTTTTTGTAAACCATCATTAATAAACAGGAGGAAACGTACCCGATCCAAAGTGAATCCCACACATGGTGTGATCAATTGTGATAAATTAAAACTGAAATTATTTATATTAGTTTTAATTTATCACACCATGTGTGGGATTCACTTTGGATCGGGTACGTTTCCTCCTGTTTCATTAATATCATTAATATAGAGTGTAAAATCAAAATTTCCATCCATTATTTATTCTATACTTCCAATCTTCCAATGTGTTCTTTGTCAATCTTTCATTACGCCTTTTCCCAATCTTTAATTTTACAGCATTATAAAGAATTATAGTAATACAATATTTAGGTTATACAGCATTACTTTTACAGTTTACAGAAAATAATACATCGAATGGCAAATTTCAACATCAACTATTGTTATAGTTAAGAACAGATCCGATAGTGATGAACTACCAATCAAAGAGCTTTGTGTGAACAATTTTTAACTGCAAATAATTTTCGCTTTTCAAACGTTAAATAGCTAGAAACAAAAAATTTATCTCTACTTAAAGCTAGTAGTCATTTTAAAAACAGCGACAAATAAATGACAAGATTTGTTCATACAGTATATTCCAAGTATATCCCAAGATTGCAAAAATTTTTATTATTATTATTATTGTTAAATGTATTCTCATTTATTCATTAAAAATTACATGATACCCATCAATATTCAAAACCCAATAACTTCAAGCAAATTTCTCTTTAATCAAAAAATCCCGAATAGCTTCAAAATAACCCGGCTGAGCGACAGTATCACCATGTTTACCATTCGGAAACTCTCGAAGCACTTTTCTATTTCCTTCTACTAAATCATATAGTTTCCTTGTGTGCTCTTTCGGAATAAGTTCATCGTCAGTTCCAGAAAGAAATAAAATCGGAATATTTTTTATATGTTTTATGGCTTTTTCGGATTCCCATTTTTGTGTACATAAAAACGCAAAGTAACGGAGTTGAGGAACTACATGCGGTATTAATTTTGGCTATAAATTGAGGTATTTATAAATAGTTTTTAGCTTTTTGAAAGACGCCTTTTTTATAAAATGAATTAATAGCAAATACTTACGATGCTCAGGAAAGTGTTTTCGACTATTAGACCAGCTACCTAATAATTAGAAAGGTAATGGAATTAGGTTTGAAAAAATATAAAATGGTAAAATAATTAGGTTAAAAACCTTTCTTTCGTTCTTTGAAACTAGATCGATTGCCACAGCACCACCAAGTGATTGGCCATATAGAATAATTTTTGTGTGTTTAAGTGTTTGGTGATTACAAATGTAATTCAACGCCGTCTAAACAAAGAATAAAATCAAAGACATTATTATTACAATCTTTATAATTAATTAAATAAGTGTATCATTTATTTGAAGATTGAAAAAAAATTGGATAGTCTTACTTGTGCATCAATTTTGAGACCCTTTTCTGATGGGGTTCCTTCACTATGACCATACCTACAATAGTTTGAATGATAAAGAAAATTATTAAAGATGAATGGTTTAAATTTGACAATCTTCTTACCCTCTATAAGATAGCATCACAACATTACATCTGAAATCATTATAGAATCGCTCAGCAATCGGTATGCAATGTCCCTTTATTTAAAATCATAATAATTGATAAGTTTCTGGTCATCATAGGTAACTATTCTTGATATTAATGATAACGTAGATATATTACAACGTTTCCTGCATTGCCCTGCAAAAAAAAACGAGAAAGAGAGATAAATAAATTATATTCCTACAACAGTCAGCAAATAATTACGTACATACATGAAAAGTTAAAATAGTAGGTCGCCTACGTGCTGTATGCTCATTAAATTGTTGTAAAACATAAATTCGGATTTTTACTTTATCCTGTGTAATTAACTCAACATCTTCATGTTGAATCCCATAATCTGATGGATTTGGGACCTTATTTTTATTATTATTATTTTTTTTTTTAAATAGCAAATTAAAAACTAAATATTAAAGAAAACAAATCGAAATGTTTTTACACTCATACATATTCTCTTGACCCATCTGGATAATCTGAAAGGTATAAAAGATTACATTGGAATGATCCAAGAAATGCCATACTAGCAGCAAAGTTTTTAAGATATCTTGAAATAATTCCATCCATCTTTCCATCCATCTTTGAACTACTAACTATATAGAGTGAGTTTTGTTTTTTTTATAAAATAAATCGAAAGATTTTTTTATTTATAGGAAACGCTCTTATTGGTTCATAAAAATAAGGAAGATCGTCTGTGCATCTTCTAACCTTATGAAAAAGAACCAAATTAGGGAAACAGAATATACTAACGTTAATAATTAATTAAGCCAAATTAAAAGTTCCCAACATCACGGTACGTACGTATTAGGAAAACTTTGCATATTAAATATTATATAGTAGGAAATGAAATTCTAACTCTTAACTCCGGGGAAGTACGTACGTACGTAGCTTAAGAACTTCTGAGTAAGCATACGTCTCTATAATAATAATTTACACTTTAATCTGGCATTTCTTAAACAAAGAATTTAAATTACCGTTACGGGTAGGGTTGTAACATTAATGGTTAAATGGCTATCATGTTTACGTAAATTGCATGAATCATATGATATTCACAATATAACAATAAACTTCTACGCACGTATGTATGTACGCACCTACCTACTAAATACGACATGCGCTAATCACATTTATCGTTATTGTCCTGCCACAGGATATAAAAATTTTGTATTTCCATCGAATTTAATTGGTATTACCGTTACGGTTTTTGAATTAACGTTAAGTTAGGTGTTATCGTTATTGCCGAAGTATGTGGCATATTTTAATCGTACGTACGTAACAGGCAATGGCAAAAGAAGGGGTAGTAAATTAGTACAGTACGGTAGTATAAGTTTAGTACATAAGGTTATTAAAAAAAGAAAAGAAAAATTATACTTAGAAGTACGATTACATATTTAATGCACGATATTTGAGGGTGTGACCAATCATTGGCGTGACGAATAAGAATAAATTAAAATTCGTACGTACGTACGTACGTACGTATATATCTGATATCCTCAAACTTTTGACTCATCGTTATGATTGATTTTATGATATTTGTCAGCAATATCTTTTTTATAGCAGCAATTCAACCTTTTTATTCGATTGTTGCAAAAAATATGATAATATATTCTATGTCGAAGAATTTTAATTTGATCAAAGAATGTTAATTTGGTCGAAGAATTTTAATTTAAGTAAACCCTGTGTGAGTTTATAATTTCGACAGCAGGTGGTTAGTAGCTTAAGTACAAATGCGACAATAGTAAACAAGTTCAGGATCATCAGCAAGTACATTTTTACATAGATTTATGTAAAATTTTTATGTAAAGTTATATAAAATTTTATTGAATCTTATAAAAACTTTATAAAGCCGATGTAGGTCTACATAGTAATTTGTATAAATCTATATATATTTTTATATAGAATTACGTAAAATTGCAAAAAAAAAAATTTGAATTAAATATTGAAGCTAGGATTGGATTTTAAAAGTTTAAATTAAGGGTTTGGGTAAAGTTTTCGAGCATGCTGAGCATTTTTACTTAGTGCATCGAGCGGTGATCACCTTAGTCACTTTTGAGAAACAGCTAAAATAGATTAAATTATTTTTATGTAGATATAATAAAATTTATATAAATTTTATGTTTAAATAAATATTAGGGAGGTGACAAAAATCAGGTGATTTTTTAGGGGAGAGGAGGGTTAAAAAATTTCAAATTATATATAAAGACCTGACCAAGATATATATTAAGAGGGGGGGTAAGCTTCTGATAAAAAAAATCAGGTGATAAATAACACGGCCCTTAAATAAAACTTATATAAATATTATATTAAACTATGTGTAAAAATTCTAATTATATAAGTTTACTTTTGGTTTGTAACTCTATAAAATATATATATAACATTATATATAACTTTGTAGAGCTATATAAATGTTATAAAAATTGTACTTGCTGATGATTTTAACGATGGTAGCTCGTAATTTTGACAGTGAGTAGTTTAGTGATTTGAATAATGGCTGTTTGTGACTTTAAAGCTAATAGGTCTGTGGCTTTAACGGGTCGTTTCAATGCCGAATAAGTTTATGATTTGACAACGGGTAAGTTCATGATTTTAATTGTGGGGTGAGCTTATAATTTTGACGTTGGATATATTCATGATTTCAATGTAATGGGTGAATTAGTGATCTCAATATGAATTAATTTGTAATTTTAATAGTGAAAGTTTATGATTTCGTGATAGGCAGTGATTCAACAGCGAATAGTTTCGTGATTTCAACAGTAAATGGGGTCAAGATTTAGATAGTGATTTTAACAATAGGTTCATGATTTTAACAACATCAGAAAATATAATCTAATATTAAATTAATATAGAATATCAATATAAAATCAGCAGAATCAATGCTCTCTACGTTAAATTATATATGTTTAATGTTTCAATTTTGTTGCTAAATTATTATTCAAAACTAATTACATTATAATTATAATAAATTTTAATACTTTATTACTAATATTATTAAGAATCAATGCTCTCTACGTTAAATTATATATGTTTAATGGTTAATTTTGTTGCTAAATTATTATTCAAAACTAATTACATTATAATTATAGTAAATTTTAATACTTTATTACTAATATTATTATTTTGATATTAAAAAAGCAAATAAAATTAATGAATTCAATGCTTTCTACATTAAATATATATTAGATTATACTTCCTGATGAATGGATTAATTCATAATTTAGTATTGAATGCGTTAATTATTTCAATAGTGGTGGTTTCAAGATTTTATTAGTAGGAGAGTTCATGGTTTTTACAATGAATTCATGATTTCGCAAAATGATTCGCAATTTAGTAGTTAGTAGTGATTTCAGATTTGAGTTCATAATTTAGTAGATGAGTTTGTCAGATTTTAAAGATGAACAAGCTTATTATTTTAACAGGTGTGTTCTTGATTTCATAACGGTGTTCATTCTGATGTACATTCTAACGTATGCATTTGTCAATAATCTTGAATAACAAAAATTTTCAGCAGCAGCCATTATCAGTTTCAGTTTCAACTACGGCATTAACTGTAATTTTCATTTAGTTTGAGTATAAAAGCTATAATTTAATGTATACAGTATATAATATTTTATTTAGATATATTAATAATTATTCTTACAAGGTTCTTAGTTTGTCATATTGTATATTGAAGCATTAAAGTAATACTTCACGCACGCAAGTATCAAAGTTTGCCGTCATTTTACTATTGTATAATTTCTCATTATTAATATTCACTATAATTCATCTCAATTTAATCAATGAGAATAAAACCATATTCTATTTAGAGTTTATTAATCTTAACATTTATGATAATAATATAAAAATCATATTACTACGATATACTTAGGTAATATTACTCTTATCATCATAGTAATGCACAATTGTTTCGATAGATTCAAATAAAATTTCAATCAATATTTTGAGCAGTCTTTTGATATTGTTTACATTTTGATCATTAAGAGCATTCTCAAGCATTATCTAAATAGATTAAATGAAGAATTTGATTGAACTGTCTGACCAAACTAGCTAATCAGATTCTTTATTGAGTTTATTTAGAAGATGCCAGAGATACTCGAGAAGCTCTAAATACCAAAAGTACCTTGTTAAGTAAAAATACAATTGATTTATGATTGATTTTATGATATTTCTTTATAATTTAATTGTTTATTCGATTGTTGCAAAAAAATAATATATTTGACATCAAAGAATTTTTAATTTGACAAAGTAAACTCTGAATTCAAAGAAGTAAATATATGAATTTTTTTTAAAATGAGTTTGTGATCATAAATTTATTATTAGGAATCAGGAACTGAATGATTGATAAAGAAATCGATTGATGATAAAGAATTTCAAAAATAAAATATTTTATATTCCAGTTTTACATTAAAACTACATCAGCAAAATTTATATATAGATATATATTGATTACTAGCCCCAAGGATATATATTGATTTTAATTCCTCCTGCCAATTATCATCGATTATGATATATATCGATAAATATTTGGTTAATTATGAAAATGGTACTAATCGATTAAGAATATAAATGATATATAGCCTATTACATAGCAATCGATAATTAATGATTTATATAGCAATCAATAATTAACGATATATATCAAATATACTATATAATACAAATATATAGTCACACAATTTATTTGCAAGTCAAATTTTATGTATTATACAAATTTCAATCAAAATATTAAATTTATTAATACAGTTTTATTAATAAATTTTTATTACAATTGTTACTTACAATAAAATACAATATAGCACAAATTATAAGTTTACATTCGTTAAAATACAAGCAGCATATAATGCAAAAAATAATTTTAAAAAAAATGAAAAAAAATGAAATAAAAAAAATGAAAAAAAAATGAAAAAAAAACAAATAAAAAAAATGAAAAAAAATGAAAAAAAATGAAAAGAACTGAAAAAAGAAAGAAAAAAAGAAAAAAATAAATTCACCAATTATGTATATGTACCAAACAACTTATCAAGTTCATCTTGTGAAAGAGGCATCGAATTTGATCATGACAGACGATCAGGATCAGAGTTATAGCTAGGAGTGTTTGGCTGTAACTTATCATCATCTTTATTTTCATTGTCCATTAATGTAAAGGCAGATTCATAAGAGGGACCTCTCTCATTGAAATCATCCTACAATTCAAAACCCAATGCAAAACTATTAATTTGAATCAATATAATCCAATATATAGTTAAATTCATTATCTTTTTTATACTATTTACTATATATACAACCTTTTTCGATCAGAGTTAAGCATAATGTCACATATGGCTAGAGTAAAAGCACAGTATTCATTTGATAATGTAGATACTGCAGTCGTAGAGAAGGCAGTCCTAGCTATAATGGCCACCCAAAAAAATGCTGTCTTAATTTTGATCAAATAGGGAGCGAAAACAATTGGCGACCTGATCGCTTTTTATCACTCCAAAATTTTTGCTGCGGCAGCATTGCACTTTAATTAGTGAAGGTTTTTGAACCTGAAAACCTTCCAAATAGAATTTCTAACACTTTGTAGTGCCGCACCATGATGGTTTTTCATTTTTTGTAGTAACTAAAAATGAAATAAGACAAAAAATTAATAAACGCATTAAAATATAAACGATTACAAGCGATAATAAATGAAAGAAAATAAATAAATTAAAAATAAATAAAAAATAAACTAAATATTAGCAAACGAAGATAATATTCAAAAGAAGTTATGTATAGCACTACACTATTCACTATGAAAGCAGTTTATATATTCGCTTGTGCTTATTTTGGATATGTACTCCGGATACATTTCATCCAGGCAAGTCTTCAAGGCTTCTTTGAGGATGGTCTGGGAGGGGTATACATGGTGCGGGAAGAGACGCTTTACAACATTTGTATACACATCCTAAATTTAAAGACATCAGTTTAGAAATACTTTCAAAATTGTTGATTGACTAATCCACTTATATTCATTACTTGAGCTAAAAGATCGCTGTTGCATTCTCTCCTTTGCCGTTGTAATTCTGCTTTGACATCCTTTATGTGTTACAAAGCTCCTAGATTAAAATGTACAGTACTGGATTTTAGACGAAAAGCCATTCATCAATTGCACGGTGGCTACTACGTGAACGTTCTTCAAAAGAAAAATAGTTTTTAAAAAAAAACTTTGAAAAAAAGAAAAAAAAAAAACTTTCACAAAGAAAGAAAAAAAAAAACTTTCAAAGAAAAAAAAAAAGTACAAAGTACTGCATTTAAAGTAAAAAAAAAAAAAAACTTATTTATAGAAATTACCTTAACTTCATGTTCGATTATGATTTGGTGATCTATCATGTGATCTACTACGATCATTATTGTGCTGTGGCGATGCAGAATGATCATGATCTCTATTAGAGGAAGTTGGTTAAGAAGAAGAGGGCTGGTAGAAGGTTGGGCCAGTTGTGAAGATTGGCGTGGTTCTGAACGTTGTCTGGAGGATCTGAAGGACTTTTGTGCTCAAGTTTTTATCCTTAAAAAGGTAGTATAAACACTTTTAACAGATTGGTTGGCATCTGAGGAGTCTTCATCATTAGGTTTATTAGTAGACGATGTATTGGTATTGATATTGGTATTGAATGATGGTAAACAATAGAAAGGGGTTTGTGGTAGGGTAGTAGATGGTAAGGCGCGTCTTGAGTTCATTTCAAAAATTTTTAAAAAAAATCCAAAAATTTACCTTCTAATATTGGAAACCTTTTGTATTTAAATATTCGCAAACTTCTGTATTTAGATATTTGGTAAGCTTGTAAGTTAGAATCTAATGATGGTAATCGTAAGATAAAGTATGACAAATGAAAAAAAAACTTATCTTATATGTTTTTGGTCATTACATTTTGAATGACTATATACTGAGATTTTTGCGTATCTGAAAGATGTCATGTCATTGCATAAATCCTTTGTAGATTTTTTTTATGCAACAAAATGATATATATGTCAATATAATATAAGTGATGCCAAGAGATGTTTATCAGACACAATCTTTAACAAATTATATAGATTGTGTCTGGTAAATAGTAAACTTGAAACCCTATTAACTGATTTTCTTTTGGCGGCACTCATATTGATAAAAAAAAATTAATATATATATTTAGATATATATCGATAAATATCAATTTAAAAATAAATTTAATAATATATTGCATAATATAAACTAATCTTTTATACATATTATTATGTCAAGCATAATATAAATCTAAATTGTTACATTATATTTAATAAAATAAAATAAATTTTATTATACTTCGATATATATCAATAAAAATCGATTTAAAAATTTTAATTGTTTTCTTCACTACATTTATTCTAACCTTTACAATCAATATATTTATTCTATTCATTCCTTTTTGCTCTCTTATTTTTATATTTTAAATTTAGATTTCTCTTTATCGATATTTCTTATTTGTTCATTAACTTATACTTACCTTCCTTTATTTTCACTAACTTTTGTTATCATCTTATTGTTTTCTTCTTATTTCTCATTTTTTCTCTTCTTTTTATATTTTTTCTTTCAAAATGCATTGGCAATGTATGCATTGTAATTGAGATTTTACAAAATCTTATACTTTAACTCAACATATTTCACAAAGACATCCATATATTCAAGATTCCACAAATCTAATAACCAATATTAAACAAGCTGATGATGATTTTTAGAATCTTCCAGAATATGATTCTAATTATGAGTATTTACAGAATATGAGGTATATAATTAATTAATTATCTAATAATAGTTATAAAATGTTATAAAATGATAATTAATAATATTTTATTGTAATTGTATTTCAACATTATAAAACGATAATTAATAATAAATTTTTTTTTTAATTATATTTTAACGTTATAAAATGATAATTAATAATAATTTTTTTTTTATTGTATTTCATTTAGAATGAAAATATGTCAATATTACCTTGATCTGAATTAAATTCAGATGAACATTCTTTTATAGAACCTGAATCTCTTCAAATGGATTCTCTGATAGAAGATGCAGCTTATGATGATGTATTGCTTGATGTTATCAACGAATTGCAATGTTCAAAAAATAAGTCTGATGAAGGTGATCCTGAAGACTATAAAGGGGCTTCATTTGATGACACTTTTAATAACTTACATTATCTACCAAGAGTTGAATGGCCTAACGATGCTTATCAAGAGTTTATAGAGATAATTAATAAATACCAATTATCCAATTCAGCTGGTGATGCTTTTATTAATTTTTTCAATAAATTCTCCAAGTTGAATCCTTTGCTACTTCTATCAACAACCAAAGCTGAAAAGGAATTTTGTGATGATTCTATTATTCTATATATGATGTTTAAAGAAAAATTCCTGTTAAAGCATTTGATAATGTTAGGTATACTTTTTACTATCGATCATTAATAAAGACTATAAAGTCTTTATTAATGATCGATAGTATTAATCAATCACTGGTTCTTAAATATGAAAACAAAAAAGAAGTAAAAGGAAGTGAAGAATATCAAATTTTTGAGAAACAATATCATGCAAATTGGTGGAAGTGAGAAGAATCAGCATTACTTCTGGGGCAACATTTATTATTGCTTATCCTCTATTCAGATGCGACAACCCTAGACCTTATGGAAAAATTTCAGGCCATCCTATATTTTTATCACTTGGCAACATTCCAAACTATCAGAGAAACAAACTAGAAGCCAAGACAATAATTGGATATCTTCTGATTTTGAAGGCCAAGGATTCTAAAATGAAAAACTCTGATGTATACTGAAAGTTACAAAGGAACATTTTCTAGAAGTGTATGTCGATACTTTTCAAGCCCATTATTGAAAAACCAGAGCTTCATTTTATTATACGTAGAAATATAATCACTTTTATTTCACGAATATTATCCATTATTGCTGACTTGTTTGAAGCCCACAAGTTTACTAATGTTTACCAACCTTCTTCCTCTAAAAAACTATGCA